TCCTTGACCAATTGAATTAATTTATTCAAGTCACATTTTGACGATTTCCATTCAATTCGACATATGTACATACATATATGATTTTAAAGAAATCATTAAACATCATATTTGCATTTCAAATCAACCTAGCAAATTCTATTTTATAACCAAACTGCGAATTGTTACGGATAAAACATTTACGATATCGATTGAACAAAGCTGGCTTTTCATCATTTGAATATATAGTCTGTAAACAATATAGCTGTGAATATTTCATATGGCTCTACATTGTTTATATTTTTAGAACATGAAAGTCCACAGTGAATAAAAACCGCAATCAGTTATCAATGTTCGTTTGCATACGTGGAACTGATGATGGCTAACATGCGTACATCGAGAATGAATGGGCATACATACAAGATCTATGAAATTTCGTCTTCAATTGTGCGAGAAACATGTTTTATTCATTGTTCATATTAATAAATATTTATGTGTGAGTGTTATGTTGCTATGTGTATGTGTTATTTAGTTATACGATGAAGTGGCCGCGATTACCGTGGGATTATAATTGCGAAAGACGGTTAAACGAGGTGAAAGCCTACGAAACGCGCGTGGCACTTACAACCGAGAAAGTTAGGCCATTTGGAAAACTTGCTTCATACGTCGTTCGCCGCATTACTTGAAATTGTACTTGATAAAAATCTTAAATTCAACTCTCTTTAATCAACCTTTATTACACAATCGTTATAGATTTTATATACATTTTTATATATATACATTGTAGAATTTTATATTTAATTGGAATCGTAAAAGTCAAATGAATTGTTGAAAGGATGCACAAAGAGAATACGACGCTTTTTGTGAAAACCGTTTATGACGCATAGAGACAACAACTTTCTGTACAAAAGTAAAACTAACACAAATAATAAGAAAATTAATGTGCAACCATAATTATCCGCGAGCTTAAAATACTTATACTACGACAGAGAGAATCACAGATTGAAATTTTTTAGATCGAATCTCCATTCTCTGTTCCACCTGCTTGGTTCTTTGAATATCCGTACGAGTTCCATTCTGAAAAATCGAAAAACATTATTAGTAATTTTCTGTTCATAGAACCATTTTCAAATTTTCTCTTTTACACTGAATTGAATTACACGAATGAAATTAATGGAGAATAAGTAAAATGAAAAATATTGCGAAATTAATTACTTCAAATCACGAATAATGTAGGGATCGTTCAATTTTTTAATCGAGCACAACTTATGAACGTTCAAATATTCATTTTTCATATGGATCGAACGTGGGACACAAAAATCCGCAAGATATACTCGTCTGTGATTTTACCTTTGATTTTGTCTTCGTATTTGAGAAGATTCGGGTACCACTCGCTGCCAGTGTAATCGATTTCCGGCAAGTCGCCGCCGTAATTCTTTGGCAAGTGGCTCGGTGCTATGTAACTGTGAAGCGAGGCCATTTTGTTACCGTGGAAGAACATACGTTTCTTCAGCTTGTCCTTAACGAAAGGCTTGAACATCTGCCACACCATATTGAACAAGAATGGTTGCTTCACGATATGGACCTGAAATCAGGAATTACTGATCGTTATTTCTACTCTCATTTAATTTGTACTACGAAGTGTTACATTAACTCATGATGACTGTGGGTATTAAATGTAATTAAAAAATTACGAAAATTCATATATACCTCTTTAAGACGCAGTGGCATGGCGTCTTGAATGAAGGTCAAGAGTCTCATACTGAACGATGGCGTGAAACCCATCGCCTGCTTCATAGCTAGCCCATCGAAATCCATCAACACAACAGTTCCACATATCTATAAAAAAAAAAATTAAGCAAATTTTTATTCCGTCAAATATAATATATTAATTCTGAGCATATATTATTTCCAATTCGTATCAGAAAGATTAGATCAGATGAAATATCAGAAATTGTACAAACTAGCTTTATAACGACTAGCCAAACTAGTTTTATAACCGTTGCTCTACTAATATCATGCATGTTTTCTATTCGGTTATGTAAATTGTCATAAGTGAAATCATCTTGTGTTCCGTGACTTCATTTCATTAACTTCGTTCACTGGTACTCGTAAGACTATGTCATTCCTTATAGATACATAATCTCGGATGCATGACAAGATTAAAACGAAGCTAGCTTTCCATATAAATTAAATTACGAGATTACAATAAAACAAGTTCTTATTTTACATGTCGAACGATAATATGAATTAATGATGATCCGGAAACTGACCTGCGTTTCCGGCTCGAGCATAGCGAGCTCGTGGATGAGGTAGAAAATTCGGAATATCTGATCCGCGTTAACACACGACGGGTCCCAAGTCTTGCCGACGTTCACCAGGAGCACCCTGCGGCCCTTATGGTCTCTGCCCTTCAGCACGTTCACCACGTTGTAATCGAGAAGCGCTGTTTTTTCATCCTGGGGCAACAGATTGTCCAACAACGACGCGTTGTTGAGTTTAAAATCGGCGATCCGCTTCATCAAACTGTACGCGCTTTCCGCAAAGAATTTGCATGGTCGCAGGAAAATTAACAGGAAATCGTCATCCGTTTTGAAGTGCAATTGTTTGTCCGCTGGAAAGTTTCGACGAAACTCGTTATTAAAATTATTTAGGTAAAGTAAGTCTAGGTACAATATTAAACTGTTTAAAATATTTAATTGTATATAACATATTACATAATTGGATATAATATATACGTTAACATAAAGTACGATTTTCCTTGGTTTAATTATGTTCACTGATTAATTATTATTATTAATAATTCGTAACATGAATATGAGATTGTATATAGAAATATGTATAATTCTTTTCACTTAAAATTGAAGTTTAACAAATTACAGAGGCTAGACATACATATAAATATACATATAAATATACGTATGTATAGAACAGTCACGCGCGTTGCTCTAGTTAAATTAGTGACTCAGTGATTACATTATCTTTATTGTTTAAAAAACGAGCAATATAACAAGATGCATCAATCAATCAGATATAATCAATGTAACAAAACCTCAATTATTCAAATCTTTCTTTCACGAATTACGTCAGCCCACCACCTGCACGCTGGAGTTCAAAGATTAACACTTTTTCAATGGTCTTTTTTATCAAAGAAAAAATTTTAGTCATAACCGTTATGATCATTGTCATGATCGCATATTATTAGTAAACGGATCTTTGTTTAAAATAAAACATTTAAAATACATAGTTCCGATAGAAGTTCCTTTTAAGCAGTGCGACATGTAAAAAAATGTTCTGATGTTTCATGTAACTTGGGAGAAACAATTGAAATTTGTGAGATTTAACCATTTCCCGATGTTCAATTCGAGTAGTTATTTCTTTGTCATGAGAAAAGTCATTCTTATCGTAATCAATGATTCCGCAGTAGTTCCTTTGTCAAATAAACTATGCCTTATCATCTCTAATCG